CAAGCCCAGCGACCACATCAAGCGCCCCATGAACGCCTTCATGGTGTGGTCCCGCGGCCAACGGCGCAAGATGGCCCAGGAGAACCCCAAAATGCACAACTCGGAGATTAGCAAGCGGCTGGGCGCGGAGTGGAAGTTGCTCTCCGAGGCGGAGAAGCGCCCGTACATCGACGAGGCCAAGCGGCTGCGGGCGCAGCACATGAAGGAGCATCCCGACTACAAGTACCGGCCCCGGCGCAAGCCCAAGAACCTGCTGAAAAAGGACAGGTATGTCTTCCCTTTGCCTTACCTCGGGGAAACCGATCCCTTAAAGGCCGCCGGGCTTCCCGTGGGGGCCACTGACTCGCTGCTGAGCTCCCCGGAGAAGGCCAGGGCTTTCCTGCCTCCCACCTCAGCACCTTACTCCTTACTTGACCCCAGCCAGTTCAGCTCCAGCGCCATTCAGAAGATGACTGAGGTTCCTCACACCTTAGCCACCAGCACCCTGCCCTACGCCTCCACCTTGGGATACCAGAACGGGGCGTTCGGCAGCTTGAGCTGCCCCAGCCAACACACCCACACTCACCCCTCGCCAACTAACCCGGGCTATGTCGTGCCATGTAACTGTACCGCTTGGTCGGCTTCCAGTTTGCAACCTCCCGTTGCCTACATATTATTCCCAGGCATGACCAAGACTGGGATAGACCCCTATTCTTCAGCACACGCGACTGCCATGTAACGCCCACCCACCCGCACCCCCACAGGCGTGTGTGTGTGCGTGTGCCCCCCACCCCGGCCGGCAGCTGGAACTGGGAATCCTCCGTGTGTGCATGTACATAAAACCTGCAGGAGCAAAAGGCCGCCCGAACCAGGACTCTGCCGCCCGCCGCCGGGCCGGGACAGACGCGGACGCTGCCTCGGAGATGCTCTCGCCTAAAGCTCGCCCTCGAGAGCTGGCCCCAGGCTCGGGGGGGATCTGCAATCGCGGGGGCAGATAGGAGCCCGGCACTCACTTGTAAGAGTTGTAAATGTGTTTAAAAAAACAGAAAAGGAAAGCGAACCTTGAACTGCCCTTTCGGGACAAAAGCGGGGAGAAAAAAAAAAAAAAAAAAAAAAAAAAAAAAAAAAAAAGGAAAGAAAAAGAGAGAGGCGGTTTCGATTTTTATTTATTCTCTTAATGTCTATGAGTTCTCCAGGGTCTCATGTCACTTGGACTTGACTTTGGGAAGTCCCGGTCTTACTCTGATTTTATTTTTTTTTCCCTCGTTGTTTTCCTTTTGCACATTGAAAGACGAGATCAGCTGTGTTATATATATATAAATATATATATATTTTGCCACCACGTACTACTAGGTAAAATTGCTTTTCATGTCAGAAAAAGGCTCTTCAAAGTTAAAAAGGGGAAAAAAAAAAGAAAAAAAAAAAAGACGGGGAGAAACATTTATATTTAAAACATATGATAGTGTTTGCTTAATTTAAAACAGATAGTCCTTAAATTTGTGTGATCCAGTGAGACTAGATCTAAGTTTACTTTAGACAGAGCGTCAGGTATGAAGTCAGGCAGTAGAATTGTAAGAAAATTAATACTACTACTACTAATAATAACGAAAAACCGAATAAAAACCGATGGCAATTTAAATATGTTTTCACAATGTCTTGGGCAAGAAGAAACAGAAACTAAGATGTATCCGGYAGGATTTTACCTCGTTAAACCTTTTCATTTGTTGAACAAAGACGTTTTGAATAAAGACAATCTGTCATCAAACGAGGCAAGTGCGTGGTGTGAGTGCGGGGACGCGGCGGACGCTGCTCCCCGCGCCGGGAGCGACCCCCGCCCGCAGCCCCCGGCTGTGCCCGTGCCGACCCCCGAGCCCCGCGGGCCGGGGCCGCTCTGGAGCCGTGCCGTGCCGTGCCGTGCCGTGCCGGGTCGGGCTCCACTCGGAGCCCGCCGGAGAAACGCGGCTGCCGTCGGGAGAAAACTTGCGAAAGGACGGGACGGAGCGGAGCGAAGCCGGGGGGCTGTGAAGAGCTGCTCCCCCCCGCCCCGCCCCCCATCCCGTCGGGGAACCGGCTTTTCCCGAGTTGCCTCCGCGGCGCTGAAGTTTTAGAGGTGCGAGGAAATATTTGGAGCGAGGAAGGGAGCGTTGACCGTGCTGGAAGGGGGTGGTTTGGAATCGGCGTTTTGCGCGGATCAATTAGCGGTGTTTGGGGGGCTCTTCCCTCGCCGGGGGAAGGGAGTCGGGGGGCAGAAAGGAGGGGAAGGAGGAAGAGGCAGAGGATCCGTCTGGAGGGGCTGAATAGCCGGAGCGCCGCGGGTTTGGTTGTGCTTTGCTCATTAAGTGCTCTTTGGAGACCGATGTTAGAATTAAACGGCGTAACACAATTAACATACATGGGGTTTGAATGGGAGGGTAAGCGGGGGAAGAATAGATAGATAAATAAATGAGAGATCAGGCGAAGGTAAACAAAAGGGGAGAGGAGAAAAGGGCTGAAAGGAGAGGTTAGAATGGCTGCTCCAGCCTTGTTTAGCATGACAAAACGGCTCTTACAAATGAGGACAATTAAAGGAGCTGGCTTGGGGAGGGCCTGGGAGCCGCGGGACGATCCGCTGGGACACGCGGGGCTGGATGCGGCCGGCGTGGGGCGGCGCGGCGGCGGCGGGCGCTGATGTAACCCCAGCTGACAGGCGCTGTCAGCCCGGCTGATAACACCGATAGCTCAGTGTCCTCCGACATCCACCCGCATTAGGCTGACAATGGTCGGAGGCAGCGCCKGGCGGGGGGAGCGCCGGCCCCGGCCCGCCCGGGCCACGCCGGCCGTGGGGCAAAGCGAGGGCCCCGCACCGAGTCCCGCTCCCCACCGCGGCTGAGCTTTGGGGGACGCTCCGTCCCCMTGAGCCCGCAGCACCTCGGGGCCGYCCCSRCGGCTGTGGGGGGAACGGGCTCGGTGTGGGCCGGGGGAAACATCGGGGCGAGGTGGTGAGCACCGAGCGCTAGGGCTGGAAACTTTAGCGGGGATCCTTCCTTCCTACTTTCCTTCTTTCTCTTCTTGCTCCTTTCCCTTTTTATTTCCCTTTTCACTCATTTCCTCCACTTCCTTACTTCCTTCTTGCTTTTCTTTTTACATTTTATTGCTTATCTTTATTTCTTATCTTTATTTCTTATCTGTATTTCTTTTATCTCTCTCTTCCTCTCACATTTTCTTTCTCTCTTCTTCCGTTCTCCTTCTCTCTCTCCCTCTCTCTTTCTCTTTTCCAATTTCCCTCTCTTTTTTTCTCTCCCTCTCTTCCTGTTCTCATTCTCTTTTCCTCGCTGCCTCCCCGTCCCCTCCCGCCCCGCTCGCCCCTCCACAGCCTCTGCTCTCCGTGTTTCGTTCCCGTTCCTTGCGCCGTGTTATCCTTCCAACCCTCCCGCCCGGCTGCAGGTGTGTAGCTATTTAACTCGTGGAGATAAATAAATTAAATAATGATCTTGACACTGCAATGAACCGATTACTGACTTTGATGTCAGAGGGAAACCAAAAACAGAAAGAACGAGAGAGAGAGAGAGAGAGAGAGAGGGGTGAAAAAAAGCTATTCCCTCGAGGGGGAAATGCAGCTCCTTGTCAAACCTGTTTCCCCACAACTGTCTCCTTCTTTCAATAAAATCATTAAACAAAGGCCGCGAGGTTATGCGCACCACGCCTTGGGTGCGCGGCCGGGCGCTGTCCCGGGCTGGGCTTCGCCGCGGAGCCTCATCCGCACC